GATTTTACTAAATGATTTGAACTGGTGTTTTTCTTGAATTCATACCTCTTTAACATTGCGCCAGCTCATTTTAATCGTTAAATGTTCGTTTTATCTCTGACATGAGCTTGCAGTTTTTACATTTAACTCATTCCGCTTTTTTTGTTTTTATTTGCCGACTCTTTCGGTTTTTTTTAGTGTTTTATCTTAGAAATTTGAAAACATGAACCATGGTCGGCTTTGTTTTAATTGCTGGTAAATTGTTATAAACGCCGGTAATTGAAATGGGCGTCGGTGAAAATGGTCGATCCGTGATCTTGGCATTGATTCGAACCAAAAACTACAATTTTTAAATGATTTCAAATGAAACAGAAAATGTTTTTAATTTGACTGAAAATGTTTGCCGCTAATGAAGTTATTTGAAATTGGGAATATTCACGATAGAAATGGGTTTCTTGTGAAGAAATGAGAAAAAATCAATTTAAAATTTCATTTACATTTTCTTTATTTTAAACGATACAATCGATTATAGAAATTACAGCTGTAACAGAGATATGATTTTCAAGAATGTCGTAGGTATTTTTTCTTCAAAATTGATTTATTTTCTAAAAAATGATGGATTTCGTTGAAACAAAAAAAAATGGTGGTCGCTCCAATTTCATATTCGTTTTTTTTTAACTTTTTGTAGCTAATTATATGAAGCCAAAAATCTGGAGCCAAAATGAGTAAAAAAAGGAGTTCACTGTCTCCGAAGCGTAAAGAACATGAAAAAAGAAGACAGCATCGACGAAACACAACAAAAATCCCATACAGAACCAGTTCGTTTAATCTTACGAAATCATCTTGTTTCAAATTTCTTGTATGAAAAAGGAGTAGCGCGTAAGCCTAGTTAACGTGATGTAACATAAGTAAGATGTCAGCACAGCTCATATGTAAATTCCAAATGAACGACGACAAAAGTCCAATAAGAATCATCGAACATTTAGACCACCCGTTAAGATTTATGTGCTCCGATTTTGATGTGTCTGCGAATGCGCACTGAATTATGAACCACACAATAAATTTTCAGGCGACAATTTTTCGATTTATTCAAATATAAAACTTAATATTAATTTACATGATGTCTAATTTATTGTCTGATTGCTTTTGTTTTCCATTTGTCGCGGTGATCCCATTCCAAGATTAATCAATTAGTTTAAATTTTGTAAACGAATTCCTCGATTTTTCTCATCGTTTTTAATTAATATTCGATAGACATAAGCCACACAAAACAAGTTGTATACCAATGTAACCAATCGCGTGGTAAATGATCGTCAATCAAAAATTGAAATTGAAATAAGAAAAAAAAACTGTAGCTTCTTCTTCAAGTCTTCACTAGCGTTGGAGTGATTTCCAATTTGCAATGCGACATGGTGCGATCATATCAATGAATTGATTCTTTGTTATTCAAACTGCAAGTTTTCACGTACGCGATGGTAAACGAGTTTAGTACAGCACGTGAACTGGCAACACAAGCATTCAGTGATTTGATCTTCATGTTGGCCAATTACTGTCCACAAATACAACGATATTTGACTTTAGCTGTGAAACATTTTAATGAGGTTCTTACGAAGCAACTGAACTTGAATTGATTAAAATCACCGAGCGAAGGTAATACCAATTTTCTCAGTCATTGAACATTTAACAAATTGGTCGATCATGTGACAATTTACTTGCGAATACTAATGAAAATACAAAAGCCAGAAGAATACTGTAATAATACCATATGTTGAGCGGAAGGATGCTGATGCAAAAAAACAGCGTTTTTAGATTTTGAAAGTGACAAAAAACTCATGCAAAGGATGTACCTCTCTTGATTTGTGGGTATTGGAACTTTACTGCAAAGCGTTCAACGTTTAAAAGAAATCAAAAGGCATGTTTCTTTCAACTTAGAGAGTCATCTTCAATGCTTAGAAGAAAAATGGTCAAACTCGATTTTCATAGTTTTTTTTTTCCGAGAAGAGTTTTGATTATAAATTTATTGTGATATTTTATAATATATTTATGATTTTGCGACTTCTTTTTATAGTTTCGAATCAAAATAATCTGTACCGAAAATCAAACGTTTGCGACACATCAAAAGTTCCATGGCATTGTTTTGACTAAAAAAATGGGTCCATTTGTTAGAAAACAAAGCCCATTTTAAATGGGCATGATGCCGTATAATATTTGTTAAATATGCGCCTTCGATCACCAACAGAGCGATGCATTACTCCAAAACAATACGATTCGCAAACCTACTGATAAGCATAAAAATCGATTAGTCCCATTTGATCCCGGTAATTCGTTTCCTTTTAATTTGTGAAAAAAAAAAACACAAAACTGAAAGTGACCCAAAGATTTTGTCACCTTTTGTTTCGCCCTTTAATGTTTGGCCGAATCATATAGCAAGACAAAACTGACCAACAGCATAGTTTAAATCAAACATGAATTGCTCTCATTTATCGTTTCGATCTCTGTTGAATAGACTAGATTTTCCCTTACTCATTCGTCGGCAATTCGTTTGCCATTTAGCCTTTTCAATCGATTTCTATCTCTGTGCGATAAACCGATGCAATTGTTTTATTTTCTGCTTGGTTTCAGTCAGCGCACAATCGGAAAGGTGTAGTTTTATTGTGTGCAAAACCATGAACAATGTAAAGTGCTAAAAACCAATAATAGCTGTGACAAATGCCGAACAATATTATGCTTCGGACCGTATCGAAATGACCGTATGCCATCGTCACGCAGATTAGCGAATGATACACGTGTTTTCAACATTTTTCTTTCATTTCAATATCATCAAAAGTGATCACCATCTGTCCGATATATCGAGTCAATTGATTACAAACATTATTTTTTTTGTGATTGACTTCATTTTCACTTTCTTCTTCTGGCGATACATAATAACGATTGGGGTTGATGCCAAATCGTCTAGTCATGCATTTGCATCTTTGTAGCACGTTCGACCATTTGATTTCAACTTAAAATCACTTTAGACACTTCTTAGTGTAGGCAATTCTTTTGAGTCGGTGCAGCCATTGAGTCTGCCAAAAATCGATTCGAATTCTGTAGTTCCGAATTCAATTGCTAACAATGTTTTCAATTGAATGTATTGATACAATAGTATTCCATCAATTAGTTGTGCTTTTAGCAATAAATACAATACGAATACAATGGACTTTTACAGGATCTTCTTCCTCTTGTTCCGAAAACAGAGCAAAAAGAATGAAGTAAAATATGTCACTTCCTCTTCAAATCATATACAGTTACGACACGCACATGAGCATACAATTGAATTGAATTTGAAAGAAAAAGTAAAAAGAGATCCAGTTTGAATGGGTGAATAGACAAGACGAAACAAAAAATGGATAGATTGAAATTATTTTCCGGTAACGATTGTTCCGCAAAATAGTCAAAGCAAAACAAAGCAAAAGGAATACACAAGCGAGTGCATTTGAAAGTGTTTTGAATTTGCTTAGAGACAAAAAAATATTGCCAACATTTTACCTTATTTCACACTTAATGCGATTTTCTACTTGAGGTTCGAGTGACTGTCTTCTATCACACCATTTCAATGCTAAACAGTGTATAACAATTAAATACTTTTGTGCCGAATCAAAAGGGAAATATCATTTTGCTTAGACGATGCGTCATTGTCTACTTCGATTTCTATTCGGAAGACAGGTTTGTCTCGACAAAATACAAAAGAGCAACCGACTCAAACATTTTCAAATGGCATACCATTCAACTCAAAAGACTAGACAAATTCATCCATACAATTATAAATTGAATGAAAATAATTCACAGAACAATGGACTTGGTTGTCTGTGCACAAAAAATTTATTAGCGAAAATTGTTTCCAAGCTCGCAATTTTTTTGAATTTTAACGCGACAATCTCCCTAATCCCAATCTTATTGCGTTGGTTCCATATTTTGCAAATGAAAAAATAAACTCGTTTTTAATTTGCAATTCAAAACGATGATGTATACATGAAACCATATTATATTCGAAGATTTATGTCAACTATGTCGCAACCCTTTTTCATTAGACCGTTTTTTTTCTACCTCCGAATCATTAAATTGTGTCTCTGACAACGTGACATTTTTTCATGTCTTAAGTTTTCGCTTTTATATTTTGGTAACAAAAGATTTCAAACGGAAAAAAATTACACCTCAAACGACAACACACAAAAAAACGAATCTCATTTTTTTCTATCTCAACAATAAAGAGGGTTGCAAATCTTTTTTTTGAAGATTTATATACAGTGATACAGGATTTATTGGGATTTCGCCATTAATATAGGTGTTGATGGAAAGTTAAGATTGTGAAAGGGGTTACATTTTTAGAGAATATTTCAAATTGGAAAAATGTTTTCTTTGTCACTTTCATTTTGAATTGGAAAAGGGGTTCTTCCGAACAGTTGCACTATTTTGTGACTTATTCGAAATTGAATGCAATATGGAGACGGTTAAGTATTCTTTAATGGAATATATGCAAAATTGCATGCATTGATAGCAAAGCGCTGATTTATAGAACGAACAGTTTGCACACATAAATGATTGAGCAGACAATATATTTGGATTTTGTCATCTGCATATTTCAGCTCATCTGGATAACGTTAGGCGATGATACGAAATGAAAACAATAGAAGTGATTGTTATAGTTATGGTAGTATTTTTATACCTATACAATACAATAATCACTTCTATTGTTTTCATTTCGTATCATCGCCTAACGTTATCCAGCTGAGCTGAAATATCCAGATGAGAAAATCCAAATATATTGTCTGTGATTGAGAAAATTATTTAAAATGGCATGCATTCAAGTTTTTAAACGGTTTGAGTCCATGGTTTTTATGAAAGAAAATAACATATTGCTTTGTGCGGCATTTGTTAAGTTGATAATTCCTTGTAGTTGCTTCAAATAGAATTAAAATTGTAAATAAGGCATCATGGGTCACACAATTATAACCGAGTTTGATATCAAGAGTGAAAACACAATAAATTAAGTTGGAAAAATATTGTTAAGTGTTTATTCATCAAAAGTGGCAATGCATACGAAGTAAAATGAATTTTGTCATTTATATTGTCTTTTTATTGTTGGCAATTTGGAAAGTAAGTAAATGTGAAGTCGAATCTATGAATTTTCCATTGAATTACATTTTTTTTTAAATTGTAAATTTGTTCAAGGTTTATCTATCTTCAAGAAAAAACAGTGATGATGAATGAGTAGTGCCGAGAATAAAGTGTATCTTTAGTTTCGAATGTTTCTTTTAGTTCAAACCAAATAGTATACATTCGCTCATTTTTTCCCCAGAGTAAGTATTGCGATTCTATCAAAATGTATATTATTCGCGTAACTTGTAGGTTTTTTTCGGGAAAGCAGGCGCCAAATCAAGTTTAAGTGTCTCGATTAAGTTTGTGACGTGAATTCAGTGCGGCGATAATATTAAATGTATGTATTGAAATCGATTTATATCGTTTTGCAATCAGCCAATTATCGTTTCATTTCGATGCACACTGAAAATTATCGATGCACTTGATACTGTGTATTTATATACGTGGCCTTATTTCAGAGTTCATTTTTCAACTGTGGCGCATCGATTCATTATTTCGTTAATGTCACTCCTCAGGGTGGATATTCATTTTTTTTTTCGTTGGTGAATCGCATGCGCTGGTCACTCGAGGCTTTAACTGGATTACCACTGCTTGGGATTTGGTGTTTTCTTTGCCAATATGTACCTTAATTGTAAGCGACTTTTCGCTGTACCACTGTAGTGCTACCGGTTACATTGATTCTTTCCACATCACTAATACACAAAGTGATTATTTTTTTTTGCTTTTTGCAGCACGAGTTATTTATTACTTTATCTGCTGGCAAAACGCCGAAAGTTAATAGCTTCTTTTAATTATTATTTGTGTTATTGTCGTACAGCAAATGGAGCAATGCATACACACAAATATCCCTCAAGTAGTTGCTGAGTTTAATAAATATCATTCGCATTTATTCCCTCTGATTCGGGCAAATAAATTTAATATTTATTTAATTTGTATTCTAAAAGGTTTGCGTATGTATCACCAGATCCAAGATAAGATCAGCGCTAAATTCATAATAACAATTCACATAAATAAAGCGAGCTCACCAACCGAAATTCTCAGGAAGTACCATACTGCCAAATCGAAGAATATAAATGATTCATTTATTAATTGCGTGTGTATGTGCACCGATGCACACGCATGCGAACAAAATATTTTGCGCCGGAAAAAATGCACCACACACATGCGATAGGATCAAATTTGGTCTGAGCAGATAATTATCAATTAGATCGTTCATTTGCATTTAACGGTTTGTGAGTCTTGCTTAAGGGGTCTCCAAATATGCCTAAACATTTTTCACCGATACAAAAACATTTTTCAAAAATTGAATAAATACATTCAAAGTCAAGATATGTTTATGTTTTTTTGAGACCCCGACTCTGGTCACGATTCAATCGTTCGAATGCCGATCATATCGACTGCATTCGTTTTTCACCGCACACCGATATTGTGAATTCACCACATAAACGTCAAGAAAAAAATGTTTTAATTCAGTAAGTTCCCAAATTGAGTAGTTGATGTGGTTCATGGATTTATGAATTCCAAATATGAATTTTCGAAATGGTGAAATAATATTACGATGATTCAAACCGCGGTGGAGGCAGTTCAAGTTCACAGCACTCTATGACATAAAATCGATGGAAACCAATCGATAAAATTGCATGAGTAAAAGTGCTTTTGATTAAAAAAAAAAAAAGAAGCCTGAAAATATGCTCGTTGTGCTCTGTATTCGTTTTTGGGCATTGCGATATAATAATAAACATTCTTGCGTGGATCAAAATGTACTTGTGTCACAAATGAAAAACAAATGGTCAAACCATAACCGACTGCACAGTGTGCGCACGCAAGTAATAATGAATTTGAAAAAAATGGTGTGATTTAAGCAGGCGTTGACCGATAAGAAAAACACATTCCAAATACGCTACGCACATTCGCTGGCATCGAATTCATACGGTTCCATCGAATGGCAATTCCATGTATTCATGGCACGTTCAATATTTTATCATTTTTATGATTTTGTATGACAAAAATGTATATTCAATAATTTTTGCTCCTTTTATCGGTGCTAAAATGCGAAAAATCGCCAAATCGAAACACACATAGCGTGCACAACAAAGACCGGTTAGTCGGAATAAGAATGAAGAAATGAATAAAATAAAATTGAAAAGTAATAACTTGAAGTAAAGTGCAAGACCAGAAGCAGTCTAAAAATTTATTCAATTCTAATAAGTGGCGATCCGAAATTTCGCAAAGATCTTATCCCGAAGGAAATGCGCACAAAACACATACCCCTCTCGGCTCTTCCAAATGTGCCATTTGCCGGTCGTGTGATCGGTATTTCGGATTTTTGGTCGTCGGACGATTTTTTCGCATAATTTTTCAATTACATTTTCGAATATCTTTTTTCCCTCTTCCGATCGATAAAATAATATTTTCCTATCAAACACGCTGTCATATTGTGCGCCCAGGCGATTTTTGTTCCTACTCTTTCTCTTATAAATTCGTTCGCATCATCACTTTTACCACCTTCCATGCGGCAATGAAAGAAGAAGGAAAAAAATCGAAAACAACAACGCAAAATCGATGTGCCATAAACGTTCGTTTTTTATCTTCTATGGAATTCATAAAGTGAAAAACAAGTCTTTTGATTTTATTGGAATACACCATATAAATATTGACGTTATTGTACATTTGAAGAGTAAAAAAAAAAACGATGCAAAGACATAACAAACAGACTGTAAAGTTCTTGTCAGTGGATGGTTTTTGTTTCGTGACAAAACTGTTTCAAACATTTAATTCTTAATTACCTCGACAATATCGAATTGACTGATGTAATTGTCCGGTTTTATTGTTTAGCTTCCATTTTTTTTTGTGTGTGATGTTACTTTAGTAACGTATTTTTTTTCTCGTCATCGTCATCATCATCGTTGACATACTTGCGTGAAATGATTGAGCAATGCCTGAGAGCGTGTGGCTCTCTTTTCCGTCTTGATCGATTCGTTACTTTTATTGATCGTACAATAAAAACAATTACAGTAATAAAACTTGAGCGTAGAGAATACGAAGAAGAAGAAGAAGAAAAAAAATAACCAAAACATATAATAAATCGAAGCATCGTGTTGATTTTCTGCCTTCGCGCGCGACATTGCTACACACAGCATCAAAAACACAAAATGCAACATCGCTTGCGATCAACAACAGCACCAATTCAAGTGTAAGTTGATTTCACAGTTGACTTATTGTGTAGGACTGTCTTTCGTTAGCCATACAAATATGCGATTGCATTCGATATATATCAAAATTGAATATGTTGAAATAAGATAAATGAACGTCAACGAACCAAAGCGAAAGGAAGGCGACAACTATATGGTTGGATATGATGGTATCTTGGATGCCATTACGCCAGTAGTTACCATACAAGATATATTGGTATTTAATCAATCGTGAGTCGAATTGTGTTTGGAATTTTTAATGATATGTGCGCTATTCGCGTGTGATCCAGCCAGGAAAAAATAGACACAACCGATGATTAGAAAATTTATTGAATCAATAAATGAGCCAACGGAGTTTCGACGGGATGGACAATATTTGATGGCATAGGAAACATGATTGTGTTTAATCCATGTATATTTTTTTCCACTTTGTTGTTATGGGACATGTCTTTCTCTTTCTCTCTTGCACGCTAGCACTTTATTTATTTTTTTACTGTGAATTCAATTTCACAGTCAATAATGATGGACGGTAATAATGTAGGTGCGTAAATTTTGCTTGTTCGCAATTTCTCAGTTTGATTTTCAACGAAAGAGACCAGGAGAGAGGGAGGAGCAGAACACTCTTGACGTGCGGATAATTTGAGTGCAATAAAAATTCGCTTTTCCTTTTTGTTTTAAATGAGCGACAATTTTTCTTTTCGTTTCGCGCAAATCATGCGGATCTATTTAAAATTGTTCCATATTCGTGTGTTTGTTGCAATTGGATAATCATTTGGTGTTCACAGTGTTGATGCTGTGGCGTCGCTTGTCTTGTTTACGTCGTTTTTAATGAAACAGAAGATTGGCAGAAAAGAATTACACCGTATCAAGTTACGTGCTAATGACATTGTACACAACGCCACAGAATAAAAATATTGCATTAAATCTCTTGTTCCCGCTCTCTGTTTACCTTTCTCTCTTTATCCAATGCTTGCAAAATGATCCATCACATTACATGAAAATCCACAATGCAATGCAATGTTTAAGTTAACGAATCATTTAATTCGTTCGATGCGGACGAGTGCAGTGTGGTGTGGTGATCCATAGCATTTCTGTGCAGTTTCAGTATTCCAAATCATTTATATTGTTTGTATATGAAGATATATTCACTTTAAATTGAATAGTGAGAGATGAAGACGATGTTGTGACGACGACGACGACGACGGCGACGGCGGCGACGAAGATGATGATGAAATAAATCGAAGAAACGAACTTTCTTTGATATGTGTACTTAATTAAAAATTATACTTGTTACCGTATCGCATTTTGATCAAGCTTTACTTTGATCGATACATTCGACTTGAATGTGTGATGTTTGTCTTTTTGTTTCTTATCTTTCCGTTTTGTACGTTCGGCATTAAAATCGCGCTATGCAATTGTAGCATTCGATGCGTATCTTTGTGTTCTACTTTAGAAGAGAGAAGGAGAGACATTGGCGATTGGGCCTTAATTAATTACAAAGTATTTTTCAATCTCAGAAATTGATCGAATGCCATCGATCAAATCGAAACAAAAGATTTAATCTCATTTTAGTCAGGGGACATTTTTTTTTCTTTATCTCGGATCACTTGTTTCTTTCATAATGCACCACTTTCGTTCGCTCATTAACACAATGGTCAATCCCGAAAAGTGAAAGAATTTTTGAATTTCCGCACAAATATTCTTTTTTTTCAAGAACGAAAGCGCGTTCAAAGAGAGCAAAAACAATTGAATACATATTCCGGTCCGTACACAATGCACCGTTGATGCTTTGATCACTTAAATGAAGATGCACAATGCCGCTTGAATGCTTTCCACTTCTTCAGTCTCAAGTCATCAATTATATTTAATGTTTGCGCTGTGGAAGTTTTTATTATGAAAATGCAACTTAAACGTTTGATATGTTTTATTGCATTCTCGCGATGCGAATCCATTAGTAGGCAATTAATTTGCCCGTTCCTCCGGGGCAATCTCATCCTTTTGAATGCGGACGTTATGCATAATTTATGCAATCGTGTGAATGTTTACAACAGATACACAACTCTCACAACACACACACACACACAAGCTCGAAATTAGAATAATCAAGTTCAAAGGAGTTGAATAAACGTGCGCACACACCCATACACATGAGATTGCCTTCACATCAGTTTTTAGACAGGTTTTGTCAGTCGTCGCTCCTCTCGTCGTACCGTTTAGCAAATCAATTAAAATAGACTCGGTAAATGCAATGATTTTAATTCAACTTTTTTTCTTCCGCTGCAACATCTCAAATTGAATTCGCTGCACATCACAAACACTGAACGCAATTTAAATTTAACCAAATTAATTTCACTGCTGAATAAATTTGCTACTAATTGGTATGCGAGAATCTGGCAGGTTGAAGCTGACTTCGCATGCATCAAACGAGGACCAAATGATATAATAATTTCTATGTGTCCAATTACGTGTACCTTCCATTTTGATCATAAATAAATGAGATTATTTTTTTTCCCCACCTCCCATTCTGGCACATTTTGTGCACGATAAAAATAAAACATTCAAATTTCCATTATTTCGTTTGCATGAAAATGATCGCCAACGGTGCTGATAATCCGATATTAGATATGACCATTTTTCAAAATATTCGTTGCATAAATGAAATTTTGTGTACGAACCAAGTCAGTGCATGTTACAAACCTTGAATCTAAATAGGATTAAGCGCACACTTTATGCAACATATATCGTGGATATAGATGGATCTGTATCGATGTGGATTATAATTTATGGGTTCATTGTTTTCTGGGTGCATTACTGCGTGTTGCTCGTGATCGTTTACCAAGTAACGTGTAAATATTTTGTTTTCGAAAACTTGCTCTTTAGTTGATCATCTTATTCCTAATTGCACCACGGTGTGACTTTTTGTCCATATTTTGAATAATAATCGACGAACAATATTCACTGAAATTCCTCGGCATAATAATTTCGTGCAGATGATACAATGATCAGCGATCACAAATAACGAGTAGTAATAAAAAGAAAATTCATCGAACAACGATTATGTACCTTTTCGGTAGGATATTTTGCACTTTACAATTTCGATTCGTTCGCTAAGTAGGTGCTGTATGCAAACAACCCATCCATTTATCAATTTAATAATTCAAGATTGGCGGTGATCGATACCGATTTGGTTTCGGGTTAAAATGATTTACAAATTGGTGATCAATTTTGAATTTATGAAATTGAAAAATGTAGCCAAGTCAATTTTGTTTGCAAGATGCATTGAGCCGTTGATCTGATATCATCTGTCGAACGATCACGATTCATGTGCCGTATTTGAAAACAAAAATAATTTTTTTAACCACAATAAAACATTGTATAGAAATACTACAGTTTTATTTACTAAAATTCAATGTCTTTTGTAACAATTCACATGATTTACATTCAAAATCTTTCCTCTATTAGATTATTCGATATTTTTTGACTAAAAGCAATTTTTCAGTACTATCAGCCTTTTGCGAGCTGTTAAAGCGACATTTTATTGAGAGAATGAAATTGAATGTTTGAAAGTATGTGCTTGTTTACTACATGATAACAGTACCGATACAAACAGAAGCAATAATAACAATGTGCCAGTCAAAGGTCATTTGATAGATTAAAATGAAACTGTTTGACTCATTGCGCAGTGCAAACTTTATTTAATTCCAGAATTAAATTCACGTAGTTGAAACACAGTTTATATCAATCCGGTTAAAATGCAGTTAAATGTTAAAACCTCACACAATTTTTATGATATTAGTTTTAATTTGTCAAGTGAGTTAAATCTAAAGCGGTTTAAGTTATAAATAGAATTAATCGTGATTTCTTTTCTAAAGTTACATTTTTCAGTTGGTTCTTGGAGTTTCTCACAAAAAGATGATTATAGATTTCAGTTAGATTTGTGGCCTGATTATGATACAGAGGAGCCAGAGTACATGGAAAAAGAGACTTTAAATTCAGCTGTAGTTGAAGATCGTGATATGATAGATTATTGGTGATTTCTAATATGGAACAACAGTGATTTCTAATATGGAACAATGAATTTTAATGTAAAAAAAACGATTTCAAAATTGTGAAAATGAAAGAAATAATCAAAAAAATATACGTGACACGATACGAGTAATTCTTTTGTATTCACATTTACTTCAGTGTTTAACTTTAACATTCCGAAACTGACCAAACACCAATATAAATAAACTGCATATCAACACATTTAATCAAAGGTCATACGATAAGGTTGTGCATTGTTCTAAAATTATAAGGCAAACCAAAATGGCTTCAACAGAGATAAATAAGGTTCATTTCACTTTCAAATCCTATATAAATGGATGTTACTCATTTTAACAAAGTTCATATTTGGTCTAACCGTTGCAAGTAAAACTACATAAAAATGGGCTACAAAGCTTGCTGCATTCTCGTATTTATTGTCATAATTTGTCAAGTAAGTACCATTCGTCGCAAAAAAAATTGAGAATATTTTGTTAAAATTGACATTTTCAATTTAAAGATGTGTTCGACACTTTGCATTCCGCAAGAGAAGGATTTCAAAATTGATGACTTGTTTGAAGAGATAGACTTATCGGAAGATGAAACTGAGAAAGTGCCGCAAAAAATAAAGTCCAGCTAAGATGATTCAACTTATTATTATAATAATTAATTATTAAGTAACCGATGCACTAACATCAAATATAGACCGGTGAGAAACGTACCGAAATTATGCTCAAAGTGTAACACAGCTAGCGCCACGACGGAATTCAATGTAATCTATACTAAGTTGCTGCCCACTAGTGAAAAGACTTTTGCTCAGTTACAAACAATAGGCTAGAACTCCATAGCTGTACGCAGTGGCGCTAGCTGTGCTACAGTTTTGCATTTTATACAGTCTCTTATGGAACATAATTGCAGTGTGGTGAGAAATGATGCAACTGTGTCATCAGACATATAAGCAATAGCAACATGTGTATCTTATTTCAACAAATTGGACCGAAATTTACACCATTGCCGACGTTTTTTATTTCCACCAACGCTTTGAAAATTTTGGCGCACGAAGGTGCCAATTTTTGTGTTCGACATAACAATCACTTTCACATCAAAAATCATGTTCAGCTTTAAAATAATAAAAAGTGTTTAATTTTGTCAAACAAGTCTTATTTACAAAATAAAAACTAAACATGGATAATACTTATTGAATACCACATGTGTTTTTATCAGTTAATATCTTTTAATTTTTCATTATCATTATATACTTGTAAGTGATAAAGAATTGTTTACTTTTTATCACGAAAAAGGACTGAGGCTAAAAATGAAACAATAACCAAAAATAAATCAGACTATGTCTATATGAGTGGAAATATAATTTTTATCATATGTTTTCAACATGTGGTTTGAAGTAATTATAGTCAAGATCTCGAACTAAACAAAAAGTCAGAAGAAGAGGGTGAGACAGAAGAAGACTTTAAACTGAGACTTTATCGTTTACCAATCAATATTTGGGCCATTTATCTACTTTTTGTTGTATCATTCACTGAATTACAGTATTCGTGTCTGTTTGATGCATTGAGTGTAAATTCTTTCATATGCTCTGTTGAGCTCCATCCATATTCAACACGTACAGTATGTTTTTTGTTGCGAATTCAGTGCATTTTTTCATGTACACTATGCGATTGATGTGCATTCAATATGAAACTTTATTATGCGTGTTGTTTCATTTGAGATGATTGCAAGAGAGTACCAATGTGTGTCTTTGTTGGTGGTTTGTTCCCCGAATGACAAAGCAAAAAAAATATCACCATTTTTTTTTCATTTCAAATGCGACTGATGTAATTTCGATGAGTTTATGTGCTGTATAAATTGAAATCACATCGCTGTCCCATCTCTCTTTCTCTTATTCTGTCTTTCTTTCTCCCTGTTGTTGTGGCGAAGCATAGAAATCAAGGTAAAAAAACGAATCTTTGGACACTGTAAAACGTAATGCGAATGATGTGAAACTTGTTTCATTTAACTCGCTATTACACATTTTCAAACAAGTTTTCGATTCAATTGTTGTCGCAACGAATTGCCATTAAACATGTTTTCATAATTTAATTTTGAATATATTCGATTCTTTATTAGTTATGTGGATTGATGCGTAAACAATCGGTGTCATTATCCAAAATAGTATACCGTTGAGCATAGGGTGACGAACAATTTTAGGCACGCATAAAATGTCCAATGTTAGGGAACGGAATATGAAAAAAAAAACTGTCGTCCCAGTTTTTTTTTTCGTGTGCTACTGACTCAGTTTTTGTAAATGTGGAACACACAACGACATATCTTCATAAATTTTAGTGTTGGCTACTCATAACAACAATATCTGCTAATTTATAAACAAACAAAAACTGAGGGTAGACGATCCTCCGATAAATTTCGTTGATGATGTCCTTTTTTCAGATCACATTTTTAGATTTTACTTTCTTTTTCTCTTCGGATTATAATCGAATATCATAACAAAACGCACATACCAACCGCCACGATACGAATAGACTAATTAAGTTATACCTTTGGGACGGACCGCATTTTATTGTACACATTTTTATAGAATAATACCTCGTTTTGATGGACTTTTTTTTTCGTGTTGAAAGTTGTGGTTTTTGTCATCTTTCTATGACAAGATGGAAAAAACAACATTTTTTTATGACTCGTTTTCCCTCATAATTTCAAAATCTCGAAAAAATAATCATGATTTCAACTTTTGATTTAGGGCCAACAAAAATGTCTAATTGAGAGGCTTCATATAAAAATTTCGATTGAATTTACAACACTAATTAGTTTATTTAAAAGAAAACTATAAAAGAATGGAAAGCAGTGCACACATTACTTTGGAAGGATAATCGAAAGGATAAAGGACACTTTTATGAGAAGAACACCAAGAGAGAGAGATGTTCGACTTTGACGGGTACAAAGTGTTTCGAACAACTCCTTGTGTTTCTGATAAAAACGATCAACCACTTTGATAGCGATTTGTATTTTTAATTCATCTTATCAAGCGATTCAAATCTTTTGCGTAAGTCTTAAATTAACTAAAAGGACATTTCCTTGATTGTATCTTCATTTTCATAAAAATATATATTTAGCGATAAAAAAAATAAGAAGCAACAAATGTATTTATATTTTGAATATTTTTTTGGAATGTCATTTTATGGCATGCGTTATGTGAGCGACAGAGAATTTAAAAAAAATGCAATATATTTTGTTGAAACGATCTACATGAAAGGTGCATCAATGAAACGCGAGAGAGTCAATCAATAAATTACATAAATTCAATGGACGTGGTTGTGGCTTGTTGAATATGACATCCCGCCAAACAGAATAAAACGAGGCAAAAAAAGAAACGATTCGCGCATTCTTCTTCAATTCATTATCATTCAAATATCAATATTGCTTCATTTCTCTTTTGCAAGCGCGCGCACGCTCATCTTTGCGTTCATCGACTTCTTCACTTTTGTTCCGTTTTGTAACCCGACTTAAAATATAATGTGAATGGAAAATCGGAGTGATTTTTTTTTTGCTGCGCGCTCTTCAAACCCACGGGGGAGCTGTGCAATTTTAATTAAAATTCATTAATTCGTTTAATTAACTCATTTAGAGTTTCGATGAATGAATTCTTCGCTTCAATGACGAAAAAGCCGTTGTGCACAATACACGGGTAGCCAAATGATTGTGTGACGTGAATATTTTTTCTTTGCGAATTTGTTGTCAAAATAAGTTTGTTCGTACTTCAATCACATGCACACGCTATCTGTTGATGGAGACATTATCGTTTCATGTGTGCAATATTAGCAACAACTCTCGAAAAAAAAAATGCCATTAAAACATCGTTTTATGTTTTGTATGTGCTGTCGTTTTCTTTTGTTCATTCTTTAAACTGAGAATCGGCGACGTTGGCAGATTCTTCGAAAGTAGTCGTCAACGGAATACCGAATGCTTAAGGTCGAACTCAAAGTGAGTTTAATAAGCTGTTCTCACGCAATGGAGGCGCCCATGTGAAATTCAATGCACCACTTGCATTGACTGCACTTCGACCAATTTGTCATTAATGAGAACTGTTTTTTTTTTTCGCTGGTGATGTTTTGGCAACTTTTTATCAATAAATCGAGATATGAATTATTGCTTACTAATGAACCATAAAAACAGCGATGTGCTTCATTTCCATAAACGCTGTCTGTTTTCCCTACTGATACGATGTTGAAAATGAAAAAAAACGAGAAACTCGAAGAAGATCATTGGCCCTAAATCATCAGTTTATTCGGTGGGCTAAAAAAATGCCAGCTATCGTTTCGGTTGATTTTGGCGTTTTTTAATTCATATCTTACCCGAATCCATTTTAATGTAAATTAGTGCATACTGTGGTAACATTCGACAAATATGCATTTAAATTCATCAGCATTACGCTTACGTGCTGTTTGCATAATTCTCCTTACACTTTCGCATAATGTTTCACATATGCGCCGTGTTGTTTTTTTCTTTTTAATTTCTTCGCATCTCTTTTCTTTTGTGCAAAGAAAAGGGAGCCCAAACAGTTTTCGACAAGAAATTTATCGAACGGGACGACTTACGAAAAAAGGAAAGGTGGATAAAAAAATGAAACGTTATTTGCTTACGCGATATTTGGCATGTGTGCACAATATTTGCCACAGCCTAACAGTCGCATATCAATCAAATCCAACTAAAAGTCGAATTGTGAACAAAAAACTAAGAAAATGCAAAACTTTGAGATCGCGACCACCCAGTAGTCAGAGAACGCGTAATTCGATCCGGCTATTACAAATATTCATTTACTTTATGGCAGCATACACAGGTACATTAAGCATTTTGTGATATTTCGTATCTCTCGAATGTCATGCACGATTCAGCAGAGCAACAACAACAAAATGCAAAACATTCATGAAACACCTCACTTTGCCAAACGAACGGAACCGGAGCACGAACTCACCGAAACAAAAAAATTATGCATCACTGTACCATAGCAATTTGTCGAAGATAAAAAAAAAACAACAAAATTCATAAAAATCCGTCGGTTCATCACGTTAGATGATATATGAAGTGGATCGCTTAAGTATCGCTTCGCATTTTATGCACACGGCATCGCATTTTTGTGCACCAAAGAATGTAAATGCCAAAACGAAAAACCAGATAAACACTTAGCCTTGGATTATAGTTATTAAAATATAATTTATCATTTGGCTTGATTGAAACAATTCATTTGATGTTTGGTTGACCGCTGTACGATCTGTCTTTGTGCGCACATACAAATTTTACCGAATCTTTTTTTTGATATGTACATTTGTGGTAACGGGTTTTATTGTATGCGACGATGATGATCATTGAATTCATTAACATCGCAGTATTTTGAACAAGCAATCATTCAAACTATTCGAATCATTAGCCACACCGAACTCCCGTTTGCCGATTTAAATTGGTTCGTATGCAAGCAAATTTAAAGTGAAAACAAAACAAAATTTAATGAAAGAGCCACGCTTTTCCAGAAGTAAATAAGAATGTCACGCTTCATTTTTTTTAATGAGCAAAGAACAGTCGTGTGTAATGCAATGGAATACAGAAGAAATCACCGAATTATTTTTCATTCTGAATTCTCATATTTAATTCAATGTACGCAGACGCCAAAGGTGGTGGAACCGGTGGATAATATTGGACCATTGCAATTATATATCAATTTGGATAAATGGATTTTCGCGCGATATCACACCCGTCGTTCATTCATTTTTCATTTTCGAAACTCCATTCCAATTTTCGATTAGTCGCTCTCCCTCTCGAGATCGACTACATAAGTTACATGCAACAGAGTCGGGTTTGATGTATTATTTAGGATTTTTGTCGACATTTTCGAATTTACTCATGTAATCAAGCAAAATGATGAATTTATTAATAATCCGCCTGCAATACGTTTCACCTTTCACTGGCTTTCCTCGTTAAATCAGTCGATGTCGTTCTCCTTTTTATCCACTGTCGCCAGTGCTTATATTTTATTTTTATTTTCATTAATTACCTTAACTTTTATTTGGGTTTCAAAACTCGAAACTTTCCTATTGACATTTTGCTTATAATTATTGCTCTAAATGCAATAAAAAAAGAAAACATTTTGATAAAAAAAAGATCGTCTTCGATTTTATATCCGATAGAACGTTATCGAA